ACAGAAGTTTCGAGCGCGGTTCGAAGTCAACAATTCGGGTTTCGGGTGCAGCCTGTAACGTAACCGGTCTGGTACGGCTACCGAGCCCAAGTAGAGCTCTCATACTGACCCCTTGGAACATGCAGGTCCGTTCAAGTGGGCTCAGGCTCGGCGAGGCTTTCCGATTCCGGGGTTCAGGGAGGGGCTTCGGGCTTATTTCTAATCTGTATCTCGGTCTCAGGGTTTTCTGCAGGGGGGGCTTGGGAAACCTGAAACCCTATAGACCGTCAACCCTCATCTCCCCCTAGACTCCCTGAGCCCTAGCTGAGGCTTGCGATCTGGACCCTTGGGGCAGATGCTTCACAGAAGCCCTACCTGGAGGATCATGGGACATGGTAAGTGAGGTTATGAATGAGGTAGCTAGACTTACAGTTACTTGCAACTGCAATTAAGGTGTAAGTGTTAATGCCGCTGCTTTCGTTTAGGTTTCAGGACTCACAAAGGGGCCTTGATTGTAAGCCTCTGGTTTGGGGGAGTATCTTAATATACCATATCCGATATCCATAACAGAAAACTCTAAGCAGCAATGCTGGTGCTTCTACATTAAGCTTTGGAGGTGCTTCCCAAAGCTATCTGCCTAAAATTCCACCCATCCCGACCCTAAACTAAAGCCATGCAGCTTTCAAAGCAAGTGGAATCAGAACAGCCGGCCGGAATCCGGAGAATCTGGCACGAAACTTACGATGCTTCTATCTTGGGTACGGCCCCCACCTAGTAATAGTTGAATACTATGCATAATACTAGATATATTATGACCTTAATAGTAGCCCTATTATAGACTCTTACTGTATGGGGGCAGTACCTAACTTCTATCCCAAAACCAAGGCAGTAAGCCCAAAAAGCCGGCTACAGCCAACACACCGACAGGCGAACCCAAGAACCTCAACCTTCTCCATACCCTAAACTGCGAAACCCAAACCCCAAAGCCTAAAACCTCAACCCTAAAGCCTAAACCCTGAAGCCCAAAGCCCAGACCGCAAAGCCCAAAAACCTAGAGCCTGAACCCCCAAACCTAAAGCCCAACAGCGGAAACCTGCAACCCTCGAGCCCCAAGCCGAGAACCTAGGCCCCTCAACCCCCAACCCTAAACCCCCAACCCCCAACCCTAAACCATATGGTTTAGGGTTTAAGGGTTTAGGGTTTAGGGTTTAGGCAACCCTAAACCCTAAACCCGCAACCCCTGAAGCCCTTTTCAGGCCGCGCCTCTGCCCTTAGCGACCTCGGACCAGGACGTTAGGTCTCGCTGTAGGAGGGATACGGTTGATGATATAAGTCCTGCATTGCCCATAATAGGGAATATACCACAATTCCCATAGTTTAGGGTCTTTATAAGGTAATGCAGGATTTATATCATCAACCGTAAGATTTTGGATTTCGGCTAAGGGTGATTTAGGGTTTAGGGTTTACCAGGTTGGCCCTTTAAAGCCTCTGAAAAACATTCGTAAGGAGGGTCCTATCAAGCCCAATAAGGGGAAGTTTAAAATATCCCAAAAACCTAGTTTAAGGTTCAAGGCTTGGGGATTAGGGTTTCGGATTTAGCTTGAGGGTGATGGTGGGTTTCGGGGTTTAGGATTAGGGCTTGGGGATTGGGGTTTAGGATGTCGGCTGAGGGTGATTTAGGGTCCGGGTTTTGGGATTACGGTTTCGGATTTCGGCTTGAGGGTCCAGGTTTTGGGATTTTGGGTTGAGGGCTTCGGGACTGGGGTTTGGGGTCTAGGACTTGGGCGACAGCTTTATCGCAGTTTTAGGGTTCAGGGCCAAGGGTTCAGGAGCCAAAACACCACCTGCGCATAAGCTTTGGCAGGTCGTGATATCCTACAAAGGGAAGGCTTCAGTTTATACTTCATGTTTATGTGATTTCTTGGTCCCCAATACTTTCTTCGCATTCAACAATCCGGGATTCCACAGCTGAACGGGGTTAAGGGGTTAAGGGTTTCTGCGATCTGGGTTCAGGGTTTAGGGTGTAGGGTGTAGGGGTTTAGGGCTTAGACTTTAGGGTGACTCAAGCTTTCCCAGTGCTTTAGCGGCGTAGGGATGTTCAGAGTACAGAATTTCTGGCAATACCCTTCAACCGAGGTACTTTGGTCAAAAGCGATAGGAAACGAAGGTAGTTGGGGGCCCAAAGTAAGTGAAGCCATTCCCAGCATTTCAGGTAGCTACCCCTAAACCCTAAACCCTAAACCCTAAACCCTAAACCCTAAACCCTAAACCCTAAACCCCTAAACCCTAAACCCTAAACCCTAGGTTGCCAGGAAGTTTGAGGGTCCTTGTACCGGCCGTTTCCTAGACCTAAGAGTAACAACCTAGTAATAAAAAGGGTGCCCCTTTTGGTTTAAAGGGGGCTATAAGGGAACCTGAACCCTAAAAAAGGGAATACGGGCTTACTCTGGGTCCTAGTTTCCATCTATGCCAGCACTTTCTGGCGAACCGGAGGTCCCGCCTCTCACTAGACTTCGCCCCTCAAGCCAGGGAAGCGCATACCGCACCGGTGAGGAGTACACCTTTTCTTACACAATGCCGGAGATCATGAGTCAAGCTGTGTTCCTTAATCTCCGGCATCGGCCCTCATCAACCTCTCTCGGAACCGTACCAGGGCTGTCCGGGACCCGGGCGACAATCGTTGACCGATTAGCCGCGAGCAGCGTTTCGCAAGGCCTGGGAATTCACAGACCTTAGCCAGCAGGTGCTTAAGGCGGTGGTTGTGAAATTATGGTCCCTGCTTGGGTCCCTATTATAAAACGGCACCTAATGTTTAGGGTACCCAAACAGGGGTCCTAATTTTGACAACCGCCCATATGTAAGGATCAAAGAAACACCTGTTGGGGGAGGCTCGGGCTTTGTCTCTAAGCTGTAGCAAAGCCTTCGCTGGCGTTAAAGAAATAGAAACACCAAAAAGCATCAGAGAACTGGGTTCGGAGTTGAACGCAATCTTTGCTACTTACTGGTAGCGGGCAGGCATTCAGGGTACGGCGTCTCTGTGGCCTTCTAAGTCTGTATTGAATATAAACTGACGAAACAATTCAGCGGCTCTGCTTCCGATTTTGGAAGTTTGCGCCTTGGGGTTCCGGGCTGCAGATTGCTTGAAGGTCGGTGCTCAACTTGAAACCCTAAACGCCCGGCAACACGAAAGGCAATAGCAAGCAAAAGCAGCAGCAGCAGCAGCAGCAGCAAGAACACAAGACAACAACAGCGGCAGCATCGCTCAATCCTGAACCCTACACCTCAGGAAATTAAACCCACAGAATCTTTCCCCAGACCCCTAACCCCTAAACCGCAAACCAAACCCACAGATTCGACTAGCGCTGATCCAGATGTCGGTGTCCAAGGCCCCCAACCCATGCCGGGCTGGACAGAAGAACATATTCAGCAGTCTGCTCCTGCTGTGCTGGGAGAGTACCGTAGACGATCGCAGAGTCATAGCGGGTCTATGGAGCTTAGGGCTTAAGGATGTTTAAGGTTTAGGGTTTAGGGTGGGATATGGCTTGCAGGATAATCGACTTGCGAGCTTCCCAGCTTTGAGGCATAGCCTGCCTAGTAAGTCGGTTGCAGACTTCAGCCTGCGCGTGGCTTCTTTGATATTGCTCCATTTAGAAACCGCAGCCTCCCTGACTTCGAATTTCCGAAGACCATTGGATTCAAGGAATGGGTCACAGTATTTTAGGGGCCGAAATAATTACCAATATTGTTCCTGAGTTTTATTTCCATTATAAAGGGGCCCCAAACCCTGTTCTAATTATTAAGGCCCCTATAGTAGGTCATGGTATGACCGAAAACTCCCGGGATGAAAGTTCAGAGCTCTTGTTGAGGGCTGCGGGCTGAGGGTTCAAAAAGAATGCCCGCAGCAGCGACGGTGTTTGCTTGTGTTTGTTTTTAACGGGCCCTTTTCCAACTGCAGGTGCTGCTGAAATCCCAGCGGCACTTGAGGTTTTAGAATTGGGGTTCACGGTTGTGGGTTTCAGGTGCTTTGGAGGTCAGAGAGTCTCCGTGGCAGCAGCGCCGCTGGGGATTAGGTAAAGGTAGAGTCACTCTGAAGCCCAACTGTCCGGTTTAGGGTTTAGGTTTCCGGGTTTATCAACTGTTGCAGGACCCTGAGCCCTAAGCCCCGAAGAAGAAATCGTCGACCAAGTGCCCTACACTAGCCTGAATCTCAAACGCTTAAGGGCTCTAAACCTTAAACCCTAAGCCTGCGAAGCCGAAAGCCCCGAAGCCCAGGACCCTAAACCCAAAACCTTCCTAGGCGCTACACCCTGAACCCGCAGCCTCCTCAAACGTGAGCGACCTTGGCAAAAGAAGGCAGATTTGTAGGATTTGAGGCTGCGGAGATGTAAGGTTTTACTAACGGCTGATGTTTTTGAGGCTTCCTTTATCTCGATGGGCTTATGGGCTTCACACCCCAGCACTGGTTCTGTATGCAAGGCTAGGATACCCAGTAACCTAAGAAAAAAAAGGCCTCTCTTTTTGGTATTGGGTAACTTTATAAGGAACCTAGGACTACAAAAAGGGAATAAGGGTACTACTGGGCATCCTAGGCAAGGATGCTTCGAAGGTTTCGAGACGAGCCTGCCGAGGGAGTTGAGAGATTGAATCGCCGAGGACCGAAGGTCGCCAGAGACCTTGAGCCGCCCGGTGAAGAGCAGCCAGAGACTCCAATATTCCTTAAGGAATATTCCTTAAGTTATGGTAGGATCCCTTATATTCCTTAATTAAGGGATATTGGAGTCTCTGGGCAGCCGGTCTGCAAGTTTCCGAATGTGCGCAGGTAGCAAACACATACGGATAATGGCAACCGCTAAGACACTACTGTAAGAGAACACAAGTTGGCTGAAACTCCTCAACTACCAGAGTGAAACTGATGATGCCGGAACCTCAGCCGATCGGTGCCGAAGCTCGGGGAAACCGGTCACTGCCCATGTTTTCACGGAGAGTGGCCTCTCTTCTGAATTGGCTTCCACCTGCTGGCATTAAAATCCCGGTCCAAAATACCGGTCATACTTATGAAGTTCGTTCTGCACTATTTGCTTCATTTCTGCATCACCCATACAGACCTCCAGACTTCGCAGCTGTCGGCGGTAGCTGCGGGTGTAAGGATGCTCATAGCCCTGAGCCTTCTCTCTGAGATCCACGGCGCGCTTCAGAAAAGAGACTGCTGCTTTTTCCCTGTTGAGGCTCTGCAGAATGATGTACATGTTCCAGTGCGAAACTGCACACCACTTGCTGCTCTCTTCCTTTCCGTGTCTCTCATACTCACGGATGGCTGCGAGAAAGTTTTTCTGTACTTGTCGAAGCCATTTGTCGTCTGGGCGAAGATGGTGCCATGCTTGATTAATCACTCCCCGGATGCGGTACGCATTCGCCACATCCGGTTCAGCCAACTCCTTGAGCACACTCTCGGCCTGTTGGACCGCTGAAGTTGCCTCGCCCAGCGAACCCTTGAACTCCTTCACCCTGGAAGCCAAGTTTGCCAGAGTGTTTGCTCTCACCAACAGGGCTTGAGCTAACAATGCTTGGTCAGCTGAAGCAGTTGAAGCCATGTTAATCACAGCCTGCGCTCCTTCGCAAGCGCGTTGCATGTCTCCATCCCGATCCTGATCGTTGCCAAAAAAAGCTCTCGCGTGGAAAGCTTGTGCCTCCAACAAGTAAAGAGGCGCAGACTTCGTGACGGCCGTTGGAATCAATTCCCGTGCCAGATCCCACTGGCCATATTTAATGAACACTGACACACGTTCCGCCGTGGATGCAGCAGACGGGCTTGCGGCCGACATCACTTTCCTTGGCCAGAGCTAGCGAGGCTACAGCAGCTGCACAGAAGCTGTTTGGATGCAACAGCTGCAGTTGCGATCGCAAGAAAGAGACACATGGAAAGAACTGTGATGGTCATTACCATCGTGATGGCCAATGCAAGTCCCGCATCCGAAACCTTGAGGGTCTACGGGTTGAGTGCTGAACGCTACTAATCCTGGAAATACCTTGGAAACAAGAGGCCTTATCCTGAGCCGCTTCAGCTGGAAGGCTGGGGGACGACTCCTGAACCCACTGAGGGCCCCCTGTATGAAGCCACGCCAAAACAACTAGCACCTGCACAACCGTCAAGAACCCAACCAAGACCTGTAGCACCCGAAAATGGCAAATAAAAAAACCGTAGACATCCCGCCCCACCGTTGCAAATACCCTATCAAGTCTTGGTATAATAAGGTCCAAAGCCCTGAACATCCCTAAACCCTAAACCCTTCAACCCCCCTAAACCCCAAAACCCTAAACCCCTTAACCCCTCAAAAATTCAAACCCCTGAGACCTAAATGAATAAGGCCCGTACACTATAGAACCCTACTGTAAATCCCTTACAAACGGACCCCTTTAAAAAGGACCCCTCCAAAAACATAGACCCCTTTAAAAGAGGAACCCTTTAAAACCCCTTTTTTAAAAAAAGGAACCCTATTCAAATTTTTCCCCTTATAGACCCCCTTGTTGAGGACCCCTTAAAAAAGGAACCCTATTACGGCCCCTGAGACCTACCCTAAACCCTAAACCCTAAACCTTAAACCCTAAACCCTAAACCCTAAACCTTAAACCTTAAACCCTGAACCCTAAACCCTAAACCCTAAACCCTAAACCTTAAACCCTAGACCCTAAACCCTAAACCTAGCCGGAGCTCAGAGCCCGGCTCTGCTTTGCTGTGTGAGAGCAAGCACTTGCCCTCCAGTAGGGTCCTCCGAAACCTCACCGGGGCAAGTTGGGTTTTGCTCTTTTTTTCGAAAACCGTGGGTGTTTTTTTTATGAAACCCCATGTTTTTGTTCGAAAACAATGTTTTGTTTTTAAGAAAACCATGGTTTTTTACAAAAACAAGCCTCACACAGGCGGTTAGGGTTAGGATTGAAGGTTCGGGGACTTCAAGCCTTTAAAAAAAGGTTCAGGATTTAGCGCATCCGGGGTTCAGGGGTTCAAGGACTTCGGGTAGGGCTTGGGATCAAGCCTAACCGGTCATGCCTCTGCGGAATGAGCACTTCAGATGGTGGCTGCAAAACTCGAGGAGTGGGCTGAATGGGGCCTGGTGCAAACTAGGGTGTCGGAATCTGGGTTTGGAAACTATAACCGTTAGGAGTCATGGATTGGTAAGTAGGCATTAGGATTTGGGGCGTAGGGCTTCCCAGGATCAGGTCATCCTCACGTGAACTGCGGGTACTACGAATTACACAGGGCTCTGGCTATCGGACCCGGAACATGGTTCAGAAGATGAGAGCATTGCTCTGTAGAGCCTATTTGTTACGTGAGTCATTCATCCTTAGGAGACAAACTTGATCCAAATCAAAAGCCCACCCTAGTCGCTAAGGAATCCTCCGGCCAACATGGTTTGTGGTTGTCTCAGCCCCTGCGGGGAAAGCACTCGAGACGGACAAACAACGGACTCGGGGCTAGCTGTTTAGTTTACGTTTCGGGCTCACACGGCGTGGGACAAAGAGCCCACATAGTTACGCCCTCTGAATTGAAACTCCTGTAGGGTTTAGAGTATACCCTTGAGGGTTCACGCTTTGGGCTAGTTTCGGGGGGGCGGGTTTAGGCTTCTGGTTTCAGGCTTTGCAGCCTCGCAGTTTAGGATAGAAAGGGTCTAGGGCATCAGCATCCAGGGTTCAGATTTGACAGTTTCTGTCCTTCAACCTAAACCCACAGCTTCTTCCGTCATGAGGCTGAAGTGCTGAACCAGCATACTACACCGTCTGAGGGGTGAAGGACCCTTTTTGGGTTGAGTCTGAGGGACTTAACATGAATCTAAGCCCTTAAAGGTTTTGGGCTTGGGGTTTGTGGGTTGGGGTTTACGGTTTATGGCTTACCATCTCTTGGTTTAAGCACAAGGAGCTTCCATTGCAGTAGATGTACGGAGATGGACGCCCACCTGTCCGCAGTGAGAGATCCGGAAGGGGTAAAACAACACGAAGCTGGCCTCCCTGGAGGGTGTAGTATACACCCAGAAATCATCGAAGGTCATCAGTTCTGCACGAACCCTACAAACCGGAAACAACAAATCAAAACAGAAACCTGCACCCCAACACGAAGCCTTGCACCCCACACCCCGAATTCATCAACCTGCAGCCCCTTCACAAGGCTCTAGCAAGGGCTTTGAGGAATTCGCCTACATCAGCTCCTCTTGAAACCAATAACAGGAGCTTCAAGACTCAGTGCTTGTGAACAGCTAGCAGGCAAAATCCGGTACGCCGCCAGCTCTAGCGATTCCTACCCATAGGCCCCATAGTAGTTCCTTTTGCTAGATATGAACCCCAGAAAGGAACTACTTTGGGGCCTTTTGGTAGATGCAGGCTGCGAGACCTCATGGTTCAGGCCTCAGGGAGTGTTATCTAATGGTGTCCTCACTACAAGGATTTCGGCCCAAGTGGGTTTAAGGGTTAAAGGCCCCTAAACCCTAAACCCTTTTCCCTAAACCCTAAAACCAAAACCGTTTAAGTTAAAGGGGATCAAGGGTTTTAGGCACAGTAGTGGCGCTCGCCTCCCCTTTCCACAATTCTAGCTTGCGCAGTTTTTGAAACAGATGTCCCGCGGCCGGGAAGCCTTCTTCGTTTGATGGGCGGGTACTCCTCCCATCACATCTTTACAGCGGCGAGTTCAGAAGGCAGGCGGCAGGGGGTCATCCGGAAAAGCGAGATGCAAATCGCCGATGATGTACAAAATTAGCCCGGACTTCGATAGGCAAACTGTGCTAGTGCCGAGGGAAAGCCTTCCAAAGCAAGTCCGCTCGTCACCTGTACATATAAACAGTCGTTCAAGGTTATGAACGGTGTTTTCGTTTATCTTTAGGCTTAAGGAGATATGGGGCCATGCCGAGTTCTTGAAACCGTCGTGACTCATGGCGGAATGCGTCCCTGTATGACTGGGCTAGGCAAGCTCGCGTCATCGGATCGCTGCCGGTCACACACTCAATAAACATGCAAAGCGCCGAATCACAAGGATCCGAAAATTACGGTGTTAAGAACCGCATGAGACCTGGGCCCTCGCATAGGGTAGAGGAAGGGAAGGATCCTTATGTTTATGGCCATTGATTTTGCCTAAAACACTCAAGCAGGCCTCACGGGAAAATAGGTGATGTTTGGCCTTCCACCGGGGTTTGCTTGGTCGAGCTGTAACTCAACGTGCAGCCGCTGCAGCGGCCATGGATGCAAGTCGCACACTCATGGCTTCCCACGGATCGCCTGCAAGACTCGAAGCAGTTCTTCTGCACGCAACCCGGTGTGCACGTGCTGAAACAGGCGTTTATGGAGCAGCGAGCGTAGCAGCCCGATGGGTCCTCATGGCGATAGCAGGGGGTGCTGCAACTCTGCACCACATCCCCGCCGCTTTCGCAAGCCCCGGCCGCTTGCGCGAGCAGGCTCACAGGGCCTTCCTCTTTGCCCTCTAAGTCGTCCTCTGTGGGAAGGAAAAGCTGGGTGAAGCTGGGTCCAACATTCACGGCCTGGGAGCGGAAGTTGAGCGCTTTGACGCAGGATGAGCACAGAGAATCTATGCACCTGTTGGGAAGGCCAGATAGCACCCAGAAATCCAGGGAAAAAACAAGACAATCAAGAGGATTGCATGCCGTCCAAAACCTGGGGAGCCTAGAAATGGCCGAAGGTACCAATGGGGAAAACGAACTCTTCAGGCCTAGACAACACCTTCGATAAGATCCCCTAAACCCTTAACCCTAAACTTCAGGGTAAGGCACGTCATGCAAGTCGAAGAGTTTCCGGCGCAGTCCGTCCGACAGAAACGCCTCCCACAGTCGTACTGGGTCCCCAAGCCTCAGTCGATGCAGTCGATGGCGGGATTTCGCTGGCTTCTCAAAAATTAGGGCTGCCTTGGGTTGAGATCGTGATAACAAAGATCCCCCCTACATGAGGGTCTTGTTTTTTCTGAACCTGCCATTTCGGGCTTCCGGACTTTCGGTCGTTAGGGTTTATCTGAGGTTTCGGGACAACAGGGCTCCCAGCATCATGGTTTAGGGTTTCGGGTTTAGGGTTTAGGCGTTTAGGGTTTGGGGTTTAGGGTAGTGGGGCTTGGGGCGTATGGGTTCAGGGATGTAGGGGGTGTCACGCTTCCGGGTGCAGCCCGGCTGGGTGTGGGAGTTCAGGGTTGTTGGGACTTAAGCCTTAAAGGGGTCCCTATATAGGTACTTTAATATACTATATGGGTACATGGAGCCTTAGACCCTATAGGGCTTAGGGTCTTGCTCGCGTTCAGGGTTTAGGACGGGAACACTCTCGTGGCAACTAAGACTTTAGCATGAAGGCCATCTTACTGCACAATGTCTGCAACCGTCTCAAATCGAAACCTCAAACCCGTCAAAACAGGCTCCTAAACCCTAAACCCTAAACCCTAAACTTAGCGCTTCCCAGACGCAGGTGGCACAAGCATCGGGTACGTCGAGATCGAGCAAGCAGTCTGAAACACATGCAGCCCTGGCAGCATTTCCGGTACACTTCTTGGCGCAGCTGCCCAGGCTATCCTTGCTTATGCAGATTTTTCCGGTGGAAGTGCAACTTTGGAATGGCGACCCTGAACCGTAAACCCTAATATAGGGGCCTTAATGATTAGAATACTGTAGGGCTTTGGGGCCCGTTATACTATAATCTTCATAAGGAACCTCCAATAATAAGGAGCCCCCAAAATAATATAAGTAATTGTGTAGACTATTATTTGGCACCTATAGTATAGCAATCTCCCAAAAGGTCGAAGCTGTGTTATCAGAGTGCCAAGCATCCTGGTTCTCGGAGAGGCAGCTGCCCTGTGTGAATGGCAGGCCGCCAAGAAACACCACGATGATAAGACCTGGGTTTCTGCTGGTTCGTAAAGCGAACATCATCCTCACGGCCTCCTCTTCACAATACCCGGAAACCCAAAAGCCCCAAATCCCTGAATTCCTAAACCCTGAACCTCAACTCCAAAGAAGGGCAAAAGCATCCTTCAGGCTGTCCAAGACGCTGCCGGACAGCATCATGCTAAGACTATGCCTCCCTGCTTGCTCGGGCCGGAACACAACTGCAGGACGAGCATGGTCATCAAACTTGGGGGCCTTAACAATTAGGGCGATGCTCTTAGTAATTACTCATCGCAGCTTGGAAACAATAAGCAACAGTAAATCCTCAACCTGAAACTCTTACCTGAGACCCAAGACGATCTAACCAAACGGCCACCCTCTCTCAGGCTGCTTCCTCAAAACCTACAGCCTAAAACCGAAGCCCGCAGATGCAAAACCCAAATCCCCTAAAATCCGCCACGTGCTGGAAGTCAAGAGTTTCTCAGTCCGAACCAAAAGCTGAAACTGGCAGTGCATCCTCTGCCTGATCCCCGGAGACTCCAATATCCCTTAATTAAAGAATATACCCCAAATTATAGTAGGATCCTTAATATGATTTCAGGTATATTCCCTAATTAAGGAATATTGGAGTCTCTGGATCTACGGTAGAAGGTGCTATGCTGTGAAAGCACCTGACTTGCAGTTTCTGAAACCGAGAACCAATGGCACTATAGTCTCCGTAAGCCACCGTAACGCCTAAACTCTAAAACAACCCTAAACCCTAAACCACCTTAAAGCCCACACCCTAAACCACCCTAAACACTAAACCCTGAACCACCCTAAACCCTAGACCACCCGAAAGCCTAAACTCAAAGCGGAAAAGAAGGGACCCTTAATGGGGACCCCTACCCTATAACGGGGCTATATAATGGGTATATAACGGCTATATTAAGGGTATATACCTAGGAGTCCTTATTAGGGGTCCCTCCTTTTCCCTTTGATAAACCCCAAACAGCCTTTCACAAGCATATCTTAGAAGCTGCCTCCACCCTGCAATAGTGACCATAAGGATTATATAGGATTATATTAGGGCCCTATTATATTCCTATTATACCACTACTACAGGGTGGGGGCAGCTTCTAAAGCATATCCAGCCTCATACTCGGCCAGGAGGGCGCTGCCTCCTTGTTCGGCTCCTGCTGCTCCTGAGCTCCAGGGCCTTAATGATAATGACCACAATATCAGTAATAATGCTAATAGTAAATAATAACGGAAATAATAAAACGAATAATACTCATAATAATAATGATGATAATGATTATGATAACAATAATTGTGACAGACAATAAGAATAATACTAGTTGGAACAGGGCTTTGGGTTTATCTCTCATGTACCTACGGCAAGGAACCCCAAGCAATGCTATTTGAGATCGTTCTGGCTGAAATGTTCTACTGCTGCTTAAGGGTTTGGGGTTAGGGCTGGGGCATTGTATTGTCAGACTTCTATATTGCACAACACTTTTAGCTTAGACTCTAAGACTCTTACCTGTATCATGAGATGACTCGGCTACGCCTTATATTGCGATACGGCTGCCGAAGCACAGGGCTTTCGAACAGGCTTGAACGGAGCATGGAGACCCAGCCAACAGAGTGAGGGTTTAGGGTGTTAGGGCTTTCGGTTTACCCGCGACAAATCTGAATCCTGACAGCTGATCTTCCCAGACGTGTTGGCAGGATCTAGAAATGAGTAAAGACTTCTGAACCATCGGCGTGCCCAGAAAGGGGGCCACATCGAGTGTTCTGTTTTTCCGCTGCGCTTTGTGAATTCTATCAGGGTTCCAAACCTTACACTCTGCTTTCTGAGCCCTAAACCCTTAGCGCGAAACCCTAAACCCCAAACTCCTAAACTCTAAACCCTAAACCCTAAACCCTTAAACTCTAAACCCTAAACCCTTAAACTCTAAACCCTAAACCCCTAAACCCTTAAACCCTAAACCCTAAACCCTTAAACTCTAAACCCTAAACCCTTAAACTCTAAACCCTAAACCCCTAAACCCTTAAACTCTAAACCCTAAACCCTTAAACTCTAAACCCTAAACCCCTAAACCCTTAAACTCTAAACCCTAAACCCGTCTGATCCTCAGACATCCCTCCAAACCGCCGGCACGTCCGAGAGCCTCCTCGAGGAGCATCTGAAATATCTCAGTGACGACCTTTTGATTAGGGCTTAGGGTTTAGGGTTTCGGGTTTGGGGTTTAGGGTTCAGGGTTTAGGGTGTTAGGGTTTAGGGTTTAGGGTGTTAGGGTTTAGGGTTAGGGTTTGGGGTTGAGGGTTTAGGGCTTAGGGTAATTACGGCAAATTTATGGGTGCTTTCAGGGGATTACTAGGGTGATTTCAGGGGATTACTAGGGTTCTTCTATAAGGGTTCCATCAGCTCTTTGTTGGGTGTTCAATGATAAGTTTAGGGCTTGGCTGGTGCATGTTCTTCTCCCAGCTTCAAGGCCATAAACGCTTTACACGGTTTAGAGTCCAGAGGGGCGAGTACGAGAAACGGAACGCCTCTCAACCTGAACACCAACGCAAAAACCAACTGCTGCAAATCCATGACGTTACAAAACTTAACTATCCGCAACCGCAAAACACAATCCAACAACAATGAGCAACCTCGAAAAAAATCGTGGTTCTTGTTAAGGGGGTGAATTCAAGTTATTTACGATAGATCCCGGATTATGGTAACTTGAACTAAATCCCTTAACAAGAACCCAGCGCTCAAAGCCCTGTAATCTAGGGCAAGCAACAGCAAACCCTAAGCAGAGGATTCTGACTCCTCATAAGTGGTTAGGCGGTCAAGGCACTGGCGAGAAACACCATCACCCAGAACCCCAAACCCCTCACCCCCCACTACATCCTAAAGCCCAAACCGCAAGCCCTAAACCCAGCCCTAAACCCGAGAAACCCTTTAGTCCTACGCCCTCACCACTACGTCCTACACCCTACTGACGCCTCCTGGAACAAACCAGCGTCGTCGTCCTGGCGTCAAAGGCGGCTGAGGGCTACAAGCTGAATTGCTTGTACTCCCAGCACCGTGTATATGTATATATATATATATATACACATATACATTATATACATATATACTATAAGCTTCGAGGTTTTGGAGAATGCTATGCTATGCAACTTATGTGTACAGACCAAGTTTAGCTCGGTCTTGGGGAATAGGACCACACGCCCCCACCCCGCCCACCACACCACTACTCAAACCCTGAAACCCTGAAAAGATCCCTGATCTGAAAAGCCCCTGACCCCAAACCCTTCACTCAGCAAGACCCTAAACTTAAATCTGACGCCCTAAACTCTAAGTCAAGAAACCCTAAACCCTAAACGCTACAAAACCCCCTAAACACAACCCTAAACCGTCCTCGTGTTGGCTCCCGTTTTGAAGGAAACGACCTCGGCAGGAGCGGCTTTTGAGGCCTCGGATGCCCTAAACTATTCCCTAAACCCTGGGTTCAGGATTTAGGGTTTAGTTGAGGGTTTACTCTGCGCTAAACCCCAGAGCGCGAAGACTACACATTGAATCCGAAACACAAGTGCGGGTAATTAAGGAAATCCGAAACACAAGTGCGGGTAATTAAGGATGTTTTAGTGCACTAGTCACCTTTTTCCGCAGAAGACTTGCTCAAAAGAGAGCTTGCACTATGTGGCTGAGCTCAAACAACAGACTCTGGTCACTGCTTGACCTTCAAATCCGTAGATGCTGGCTGTTGGTAATTAGGGTTTAGGGTGTTGGGTTTAGCGGTTAGGGGTTTACGGTTTCGCTACTTCCTTAACCAGGTAGGGTCTTCTAGGGGCCTTAATAACTAGAGAAGGGTCTTGGGGCCCGTTATACTATAAATATAATAAGGAATTCCCAAAAAGTATCGGTAACTATCTAGGCCCCTATATTCGGCGAACCCGTGGAGGGTCAAAAGTAGGTTGATTTTATGACCCTATCATCTTTGGGGGCTTGTGTATATTGTACGGTCATTAGAATGGGGTAGATGTTTGGTATCTTTGTATTATAGTATCAGTATAAGAGGGCAGAATATTTCTAGTATACTATCAAAATCATGAAAAGACAGCTCTGAGGATGGGTCCCTCGCCGACTTGCAGCAAGCTCATCACCTGGCCAAACGTCTTTGATAAAGTTGCACCAGCACAGGGCTTCTATAGGGGATTGTGGTTTCGGGTTCAGGTTTCTTTCGGTATAAGCTAGGGGGTTCGTAGTAGGGATTCCAGAAAATAATAGCCTGTCCCTGCGGGGGTAAGAGGCCCTGCTGAAAAACTCGCAAGGCATTTCGATCGTCTAAGACACTTAACACTCTAAAGCGGAAACCATGAAAGACATGTGTTGAAAGGGCTGCTGGTCTGAGAGGTAGCAGTGCTGGCTTGTAGTCTGGCGCTTGTGTCCCTAAACCTTGAACCCCTGCTACATTGGGGGCTTTCGGACAGGACAGCGAGTGAAGGATATCCATCAAGACTGCTGGGAAGGACTCTGGCAAAGTGCGTCCAAAATCCATGCTTCACAGGATAGAATGTCATATTCCTGCAAGTGTAGTCTTCATCATGGCTGCACGGGGAGGATCGCAGTAGTCATAACAGCAGTAACACTGGCAACCAAAATGCGAAGCTTCTGGAAAAGCGGCTGTTTTCATTCGGGCCTACCAATGCATTGCTTTCGGTTTATCAAGCTGAGGGATTCGGGCTCTGCGGTGGTCGTGCTTGGGTTTGGCTTCCATTGGGTTTGGCTTTCCCGGTTGCGGGCTTGGGCTTTCCATTTCGATCTTAGGTTTTCGGGAGCATAAGTTTGGGACATAAGTTTGGGTTTAGGGTTTAGGGTTTAGGGTTTAGGGTTTAGGGAACGCTGAGAGGATTGTTTGTACTACCAAAAATTAATATTATTGTTAACCTCCCTGCCCACCTTCAGGCGGAAGCAGCTATGCCCATGGTGCAAGAGCGCAACTAACTAAACAGTGGATGCGACCGTAAGCCGGAAAAAGACCACGCAAACCAAACGTCCGAGG